AGCAGTTTACGTGTAAGGTGTATGTGTGCACACACATTATCTCGAACATAAATCCTCTTCAAAATGTCCCAACACCTAGCAGCGGATTCTTCACCATGTCAGTACAATTATACTAAGAGCCTTTTCATTATCCCGGTTAAAGTCAGCTATTTTCTTTTTATCTTCATCATTCAATGGGTCCCAAGCTGTTACATCCAGTGGACTATTAAGGTCATATACATTTAACAGTCCAAAGAATATCCAATTACAGAATCTTCTTATCGGTTGCCTTTGTCATTTACAGTAAACAAAGATATCAAAGTATAAGCACAGCTTAGATAGCAACAGAATGTCAGAGACACAGAATGTCAGAGAGAGAGCATGTCAGAGAAAACAAGCTATGATCTCTATCTCCCTCTTATGGCAATCTGCAATACAATCAACCAATTGGAACACACTACAAATCAATACAGTGATTTTGTCTTAAAGCTACAAAACATACATTGTTTATATATTGCCAACCCAACTAATTGGCGGACAGATTCCTAACATGTTATATTTTCTCTATATATGCCAGGTGTTTCTTGCCTAGCTGATAATTTTTCAGCTTCTGAGACACCAGGAGATATTTTTGTGTGGGTTTCAGGCCAAGTCTTCTGTTTACATGTAGCAAATGTCAACAATTTCCTTCTCCCTGCCACTAGGTGTCACTCTCCCTCCATTAATTCTTCAGTAACCCAAATAGAGTTCTTTAGAGTTTTTTAGTTCGTTTTTCTAACCCAACCCCACTCTCAAAAGGTTTAAAAATCCTCAATATTTGACATATAATGATTTCTTCTTTTTTTATCTGTTTGTTCTGGTTTTATATTATAACTTCTATTTCAGTCAGTCTCCCAATCGTCTGGTTGCCGCTTTCTTTCCTCGGTGGGGGGAGAGCAGGGGAGTAATTCCCCCTTCCTCCAATTTCGTCTGGGGGCTTTTTTCTTTCTTTTGGGGATTTATTTGCTCAAGGAAGTGTTGTTCAAAGGGATAGAGATAAAAATAGGCTCACCCAGCCTCAGAGCATGATGTTAATGATCTATTAGTTGGTACTTCTGTTGGAAGAAAAATCCTTCTGGGTTCAGTTCCAAGTGGGGAAAAAGACACTGGAAACATGGAGGCTGTTTGGAAGGTTTAATGGTGGACAGGACCACATGGTCTGGAGCTCCAGAGTGAAAAGGAAGGATGATCACATGCTTCAAGGTGAAGGAAGAGATCAAGAAAAAGACTGATATGCTGAGAGTACCTGGGTTTTATAACCTTTGTTGGGATTTGAATTGAAGCTTGTTTCTAATTGGTTGTCAGACTCCCATGAGGCCATGCAGGGGCAACTCTGTAGGCTGTCCTGAGTTCCAGGCTTGGTTGAGCCTTGCTGGACGATGATGCACTGAAAGGGCTTTTGAGCAATTGTTATAGCTTTACCTGGAGATCTTTGTTATGTAAAGTATTCTGGCCCAGGCCTTAATGGCCCACCCATTAACAAAGGTGGGGGTGAGCTTCTGCTTCTGAGGTGAGTTTCTGCTTCTGAGTTTCTACTCTTTTTAGAGGAAATATTCTGCCTTTTTAATATTTCCCAGGATATTTCATTTTTCTAGGAGAGGGGTGGGAGCTAACTTCCTACACTTCCACAGTTCCAACAGCTTTTGTTCCAGTGTCAATGGCTTCAAGGCTGCTCCGGAAGCGCAGCTAGCCCTTTCTTCTGTCAGTTTGGAGGGTTTTCCCTGGATCTACGCACCAACCGCTGTCTGCTCGTAATCTACAGAATTCCCACCTTTATCGGCACCAAACCAGAAGTCTTTTACATTTTGTTGAAGTATCGTCATTTCTGAAGCTTTGTGAATATAAGATGGCAAGGATGGGAGGAGTTGTAACTAAGCCAAAATAAAGAAGCCGGAAATCATTGTGGAAACTACCTTAAAAACTCCAGATATACAGTAAACTGCAGATTTGCTACTACGAGAAAACTACCAAGGGATGTCTTGGTCCATTTTGTAAGAACAATGAGCATGTTTTGGATAGCCACTTCAAAACTAAATTAAGAATGGAAAATGTTGATATAATTGTTTTGAAGGAAATTCCTGTTAGAATTTTGAGAAAAAGGAAAGCTTATTCCTTTCTTACAGATATTCTGAAAAAGAGAAAAATTCCCTTCTGCTGGGACAAACTTGAAGGAGTGATACTCAATTATCAAGAGCAAAGTTTCAGACTGAATTCAATAGAAAAAGGCAAAGATTTATTGGATCAGATATAAACTAATTTCGGACCCAGCCAAAGAAATGGATACAGAAAAGCAATTAGAGGTAGACCAATCTCAAAAAGTTGACATTGAAGATGTGGCTGAGATGTCCGTACAGGAATTTGCTATTTTATCCAAAGATGGAGATTAAGTTTCTTACATGAAATATTAATGGGGCAAATGCCCCATCTAAGCATAACAAAAAAATTTATTACCTGAGGAAACTTAATGTTGATATAACTTGTTTTCAAGAAACACATATTAAGAAACAAGATAAGAAATACTTAATAAATAAAAGTCTAGGGGAGGATTTTATATCTGCTGGTTTAAAAAAGATTAATGGAGTCATTCTATATATAAACCCCCAATTTAAACCTAAGTTACTTGTATTAGATGAATATGGTAGATTTGTAGTAGTGGAAATTGAACTTAGTGGAATAAAAACAATAGTAGTTGGTGTTTATGTACCAAATGATAAAAGTAATTTTTAAAAATATCTTATGGATCAATTACTATATTTTTCGTATGAAAATTGGCTTGTTAGGGGATTAGAATGGACTGACTTCCCCAGTTTTGGATAGAACATCTACTAAAGAGATTAAATCCTCCCAGGGTAAATTACCAAAGACTTTTTTTGAGATGGACAATCTAGCAATAATAGATTCATGGAGGCAAAGAAATGGTTCTGCTAGAGAATATACTTTTTTTTCAGAATGACATAAATCCTTTTCAAGGATTGACTGTCAACTCATAAAGCATTCCTGGCCTGCTCTTGAGTTGCCAACTTGGCTCGAGGCTCATGGTTTAATTAGGCATCCATCAGAACCCTGACAGTGACATGATATGGACTTCTAAAAATCTTGCAAATAAAACTGTAAATGTTGACATTTTACCTAAAACTTTTTCTGATCATAATCCAGTTCTCCTGGTATTTAGAAAAAAATGTTTGAGTTATAGATGGAGACTAAATGAATTTATCCTACAAAAGGAGATGGTTGTAAAGGACTGTAAAAAGAAACTACACAAATGTTTTGATAATCTAGGTAAAGGGACAAATTTAATGACTATCTGGGATGCTAGTAAAGCAGTTATGAGGGGTTATCTTTCTTATGCAATATAATTGCCTAGAGAAGAAAAAATATCAGGAAAAGTTGCAAAAGATATTAAATGAAATCAGACAAAGAAATTGAACTGCAAAAGACACCTACGGATTCTAACATTTTACATCAAATTAAATTATTACATCTATGTTAACAGTAGAAAAAATAGAAACAAAATTAGACTATGTGAAGCAAAGGCACTTTGAGTTTGCCAGATGACTGGCATATAAACTAAGAAAGGAAAAGAAAAAAAGAGAATGAGAAAATTTGTGAAGGTAACAATGTAACCTTAATATAAAGTCATTTCATAACTTTTACTCCAATTTTTCTAAAAACAAAAACAAAAACAGGAGCTGGATATGTCTAAAACAGATGGATATTTATTAAGACAACTTTTACCTAAACTTTCACAAACTAAGAGACAATTTATGAATGGTCCATTAACTACCTTTGAAATATCAGAAGCTATTAAAAAATGAATCAGGTAAAGCTTCAGGTCCAGATGGTCTTACAAGCCAATATTATCAATGCTTTGAGGATGAATTTCTTCATCCATTAAAGCAGTGGTGGTATTCTACCGGTTTGGCCCAGTTCAGGCAAACTGGTAGTAAAAAATGCTACCATTAGGCCGAACTGGTAGTAAAAAAAATGCTACTGGTTCTGCTGAACCGCTATTTATGTGAAATTATATTTTATATTTTGAATTTTGTGGCAGATGTACATTCTGTGATTGTTTTCATACCTTGATGGTGTTGTGTAATTTTGTGAGTTTGATTTCCTTGTAAGCAAATTTTATAATGTTACTTTTATATTTAGGAATAAGTGAGATTTTGTGTGTGTTTGCCCCCAATCCCCATTTTGTTGGACAGTGGACCCCATTCCCCGCTCTCTTAAAAATTTACACCAGTGGGATTCTTTAATGAAGGAAGGCAAAAAGTTGGTGTGACAGAGCTGGGTCTTGGGTTGCAAGCAGATTGGAAGTGTGAATCTGAGCCTTTTAGGTTGAATTGTTAATTCCCCTTTGACACTCCTACAGCTTGATGGGTTTATTTGTGTACCTCTAGTTAAAATGATTGCCCTGGATCCTGTCTTCCTGCCTTAATGGGTTCATGGAGTTATTTTTAACCTGAATCTCCTTGTCTTAATGGCTCCACTTAACTGTTTCTATTGTCAGCTCTGTCTGCTCTGAGTTTTCTCTTTCAGCTAGTGATTCTTGGTTTTCCTAAAGGGGGAAGGGCTGGCTTGAGTTTCTTGGCACTGTTTTTTGAGGTTTCTGGTGCTGTGAGGTTTCTGGCACTGTCCTTCCAAGTTTCCACAGAATAGTGCCACCTGGCTGGAATGCTGAAAAAAAGCTTCAGTACATTTTTAAGATGAAAAGTCTAAAAAGCGTAGGTGACTAAACATGGCGTTCCCTCAATCCCCTTGTTTCTCTCTCTGCTATAGCGCTCATTCCATTGGGGACTTGGTCCAGGTAAGCCCTGGGCTAATGTAAGGTAGTGTTAGCTAGGAAATATTTTTGTGGCAATACTGGTACAAAGTAACAAACTCCCTTGGTTTGGTAATTGTTTTTCCATTTTAAGTGTTTATTTTTCAATTATTAATTAATTGTACAGATATCAGCCATTCTTTACATCTCATTCTTACAGGATTAGGGTTATGAGTTATGAGTTAGGGTTAGGGTTGAAATTTGTGGCTGAGTGCTGTGCTGCCATGAGATGTCGACTTGGCCATGCCCAACCAATCACATGACCAACAAGCCACACCCGTGCAGTCATATGACCAACAAGCCACGCCCACAGACCCTGTAGCAAAATTTTTTGAATCCCATCACTGCATTAAAGGATATAATGAATGTCATATTACAGGGGGAAAGATATCTCACACTTGGAAAAAAACTAATATTGTGTTATTACCAAAGGAAGATCAAGATGTTACAAGGATAAAGAATAGGCGCTGGCTTACCTGAACGCAGTTTCTCAGCATGCCTTAGGATAATCCACACATATGTGTTGAATCTGCCTTTCTTCCCAGAGACTGAGTCATCAAACTTTGCCACACCTCTTCCTGTCAGGGCAGGAAGCCCCCTAGCCCCAGTCACGACGAAGGCACAGCCATTTGATGATCTTGTGGCATTGGCTCTGCCTCCCACCTGGACACTGGACCAGATGGTTGCCAGGGTAGGAGTGGATTATCCCACAGCACGCTGAGAAACTGATTTCAGGTAAGCCAACGCCTATTCTTCAGCATGCCTTTGGGATAATCCACACATATGGGACATACCAAAGTTGGCAGTCCCTATGGGTGGGAAGAAGTCTGGTCCTGTGCACTCCCATCTGTATGCACTCGCTGTAGCTCTCTTCTTCCAAAGGCGGCCTCAGCTAAGGCATATGTGTCCAGTGTGTAGTGTTTTACGAATAGAGACAGGGAGGACCATGTAGCTGCCCCGCAGATGTCCTCAAGTGAGGCCTGTGTCGCCCAGGCAGCTATGGTAGCTGTGCTTCTGGTCGAGTGAGCTGTTACCCATCTGGGTGTTGGAAGAGCCTGGGTCTCGTAGGCCTTGGCTATACAAACCCTGATCCAGCAGCCTATAGTTGAAGAGGAGACTTTAGTGCCCATTGAAGATGGCTGAAGCGAGACGAACAGGGCCTCGGTTTTACGATATGTTGATGTATGTTTGATGTACCTGCAAAGAGCCCTCCGAACATCCAATTTGTGCCATCTGGGCTCTCTGTCGTGTGAAGGAGCAGGGCAAAAGTCGGGAAGAACGACTTCCTGAGCCCTGTGGAAACAAGTGTTTACCTTTGGGATGAAGGAGGGGTTGAGGTGCAGGACAACCCTGTTGTTGTGGAATCTACAGAGGTCTTCCCTGATGGAAAGAGCTGCCAATTCTGATATGCGCCAGGCCGATGTGATGGCCACTGAGACGACGACTCTGAGCGTTAAGAATCACAGGCTTACAGATTGAACAGGATCAAACGGGTCCTGAGTAAGGGCTTGTAATACTGTAGACAAGTTCCAAGAAGGATACCTGTGGACTGTTGGAGGTTTAAGATTGATAGCTCCTTTGAGGAAGGAGCAGATGACCGGATGATGAGCTAAGGAATTCCTCTTCCTGTAGTGCAACACTGTGAGCAGGGCTGTTACCTGCCTGCGTAGCGTACTGGGAGAGAACCCTTTGTCAAGACCTGTTTGTAGAAAGTCCAGGATCTGTGGCACTGAGGCCGCAGTCGGGTCTGTGCCCTTCTTGGTGCACCACTGATGGAATGCTTTCCAGGTAGCGTTCTATATTCTGTTTGTAGAAGGCTTCCTGGAGGCTTGTATTGTTTTGATGACATTTCTGGAAAAGTTATCCCTCCTCAGGATCCTCCTCTCAAGTGCCAGGCGGTCAATTGGAGCCACTGAGGCTCCAGGTGTTCCAAGACCCTCCTGGCTGAGAGATATCCTGTCCTGAGGAATCCTCCAAGGGTGGGACACTGACAGGCTCACTAGGTCCACATACCATGACCGTCTGGGCCAGTGGGGAGCGATGAGGAGGATTTCTGCCTGTTCTAGAAGTACTTTCCTTATCACCCCAGGTATGAAGGGAAGAGGAAGGAAGGTGTAAAGGAGACCCTTGGGCCAGCAGCTGTGAAGGGCATTCATCCCTTCTGCGCCCGGCGACAGGAATCTGGAGTGGGTGTTCTTGGGTGTTCGATGGAATGGCAAAGAGGTCGAGTACTGGCCTCCCGAATCTCTGAGCTGTGTGCTGGAACAGATCTGGATGGAGACACCACTCTGAGTTGTCCACCCTGGTCCTGCTTAGGTAAACTGCCTGGACATATGCTATCCCCGATATGTGCTGTCTTGATTGACAATAGGTGAGCCTCTGCCCAAGTTCCCAGTTGCTGTGTTTCAGACATGAGGGTTCCGGAGTGGGTCCCTCCCTGGTGATTGATGTGTGCTTTGGCCACCACATTGTCCATTAGTATCAGTACATGTTGGCTGGTCACTGTGCTTTGGAAGTGTTTCAGAGCTAAGTGAATGGCTCTCAGTTCTAACCAGTTTATGTTGTGTTGAAGGTCCACTGTGGACCATTGACCCTGCATGAACTGGGACTGTAGATGCCCCCCCCATCCCAAAAGACTCACATCTGAAGTGACTGTGATGCAATTGGGTTCTTTGATTAGGGACCCCTTGGTGATCGCTGGGGAAACCCACCACCTGAGGGAACTGAGGACATCCAACCGGAGTTGGACCCTGACTTTGGAGGTGCTGGTGCCTGCTCTCTGAAATGGTAGGAGGAACCATTGGAGATGCCTGGCGTGCAATCGGGCCCATGGAACTATGGCTATGCAGAAGTTTAATTTTCCCAGAAACTGGGAAAGCACTGCCAGGGGAGCCACTCACTCCGCTGTGACCTGGGTGATCAAGAACCTGATGCTGTCCTGACGTTCCTGGGACAAATATACCTCGCATAGATTTGTGTCTATCACCGCACCCAGATGAAGGAGGCGGGTGGAGGGAGTTAGCTGGCTTTTCTGGAAATTGATTGAAAATCCGTGGTCCTGTAGGACCTGGATTGTGTAAATTGGGTCTGATTTGGCTTGTTCGCTGGAACTGGACTGGATTAGGATATTGTCCAGATAGCACTGGACGTACACCAGGAATTGTTCTGAGGTGCGCGGCCAGTGCTGCCAGAACTTTTGTAAAGGTCCTGGGGGCCGACGACAGTCTGAATGGCAGGGCCTTGTTTTGATAATGCCCCCCGCGTAATAGAACCTGAGAAACCTCCGATGGGAGGGGTAGATGGGGATGTGGAGGTAAGCCTCCATCAGATAGATGGACGTTAGGAGATGCCCCCCCTTATGCTCTCCAACATGGACTGTATAGACTGTATAGATTGCATCTTGAATCTCTTGTATTCTAAATGAGCATTGAGCTTTTTGAGATCTAGGATTGCTCTCCACACACACACACACCCTGAGGACTTGGGAACTGCAAATAGAATGTAGTAAAACCCGTGCCCCCTCTGGTCTTCTGGTCCTGGCTCAATGGCCTGGATGTCCAGCAAATGCTGGACCACCATGTCCATGAACTTTCTCCTTATGTGGCTCTTGGAGGTTGGGCAATGTGTAAAGGTCCTCTGAGGAGTGGTCAGAAAATCCAGGGTGAGACAGAATTGCACTGTTTTCAGGACCCAGGAATCAGATGTGATGGGTCTCAAATCGGTCTGCAAATAGGGCCAGACAGCCACCGATGGGAGGAAGGGTCCAGCAGTCATTTGGATCGACAGTAGGGATGACCTCCTGTACCATGAAAGGGCTGTTTAGATTGAAACTGCTGTTTGTTTCTATCTCAAAATCCCGATCTGCGAGTCGATCTGATCTGGGCTGGTAGGACCTTTGGAATTGAGAGAATTCCTGGCCTGAGTCTGAGGAACGAAATGGCTGTCTACGGGTGTAGGGAGAAGCCCTCCTATCAGCCCTCCTGGTAAGAGAGGAGAACACCTTTCTCTTATCTTTATTCTCAATTATGAAGGGATTTAAGGCCTCTCCAAATAGGGAAGAACCCGTGTAGGGGGCAGAGGCTACTTTCCATTTGGATCTAGCATCTGCTTGCCACTGTTGTAGCCACAACAGATGACGAGAAGTGACGTTGGAGGCCAGGGCCCTGGAGGAGAATTGGGCTGCATGCAGGGAGGAATTGGCTGCAAATTCAGTGGCCGCCACCAGTTTGTTGACGTCCTGATGCATTCCGATTTCCTCAGGGGGAATCCTAGCCTGTAATTGGCGAAGCCAGAGAAGGGATGTCCTAGTGAAAAAAGGAGGTGACCACAGCTGCTTTAACTGCCCAGGCGTTGGCCTAGTGTGTTCTGTGGAAATTTTGTTCTGCCTTTTTGTCCTCTGTCTTAAGGGCCTCTGCTATGTTGCCAAATATTGCAGGAGAGACCAAGAATGCCAAAGGTTCATCCAGAGAGGGAAGTTGTAGTGACTCGAAGAGGAGCCATATTAAAAAATTTTCTATCATTGCCCACCGGACTGGGGAAGGATCCAGGCTGTGCACATTGTCTCTGAACTACGTCCACAAATAACTTGGAACAAGGAATCTCCTATTGGAGAATTGTGGGTTCAGAAAAAAACCTGCTGTTGGGCCCAAGTATCAGGTGAAGCAGTTGGCATAGTGAGCGGAGGATCAATTTGGGTAGTGGTCCTAGCCTTGTGGAGGAGGGATTTAAACAGCCCTGGGCTAAACAGACCTGTGAACAGGGGTGGATCAGGTGACAGGTCCTCATCTGATGAGAACCCCTGCTCCCCTTGAATTTCCTCCTCCCTCCCGGGTGCCCTGCTTCTGATGGAGTGGGCTGGAGAAGCCTCCCTCTGGTGCCTGGGAAAACCCATGGTGGTCTGGTATTGCACTGGCTGCAATGGCTGAGGATCAGATCTAGGGGAAGAATGGCTCCTCCCCCTCAAGGAGGAAGCTACCCCATGAGAAATGGCCTGAGCAATAAGGGCCTTAAGATCCTCTGATTATTCTGGGGCCACCTTATTTGCTGAGCGCATCCCCGCTGCAGTTGGAGTAAAAGTGGCCTCAGGTGTTCCAGTCTTGTCTCTGATCTGCAAATCTGCAGGACAAGGAAGCATGCAATCAAAAGGAAATATCTGAGTTTGGATTTCCTCAGCAGGAGGGATAAATTCCTGCTCCCTATCTCCCTCTGGTGACCAAGCCCCTGGGAGCTGCAGGCAATTCCGGTGCGAAAGGCTGCTGAGGGAGGGGGCTAACAGGTCTGCTTGCTTCTGAGCTCTGGAGAACTGCTTTTGCAATGCTCTTTGCCTTCTTTCTTCTGCCCTTGTGGGCTTTCTGGAATAAAGAGCCTTTGCCTTTATCTTGTTAGCAGCCTCCTTACTTGCAGATCTGGCCTTCCTGGCACTCTGTGATAGGCTCTGGGTGAACTCGGACTGACCACAGAAATCTTGAGGCACTAGTCGCCGCAGAAAATGTTCCCTAAACAGGTACGTTGGGCGTTATATTTCCGTAGTTTTAATTTTATATTGCGATATGTCCCTGTGGGGAAAAACTTTATGGCAAATGGTCACTATGGGTTTTTAAAAACATTACATCTAGTGAAACATCAATTTGGGTGGCCCTCTATGAGGACAGATATAGAGGACTATATTAAAGGATGTCATGTTTGTGCGACAACAAAAACAAGGCCAGGAAAACGGTTAGGATTACTACAACCAGTATCAGATCCTCACTGTCCATGGCAGGATATTGCTATGGATTTTATTGTGGACTTACCTAATAGCCACGATTGTACTGTTATTTGAACCATAATAGACCTTTTCTCCAAGCAGGCACATTTTATACCCAGTACTGGTCTTCCATCAGCACGTAAATTAGCTGGTCTATTCATTAAACATGTTTATCGGTTACATGGTGTGCCACGGCAGATTATATCTGATAGGGGGGTACAGTTCACGGCCCGATTTTGAAGAGAATTCTTACAGATTATAGGGTCATCGCAAGGACTGATTACGGCATACCATCCCAGTACTAATGAGGCTGCATAAAGAGCCAATGTGGCGAAAGAACGCTACTTATGTTGTATGTCGTACCAGCAGACAGACTGGGCTACGTTAATACCTTTTGCTGAAGTAGCATAGTACATAGCAGCACAGGACACACTCCTTTTAAGGTTGTATATGGGATGGATTTCGTAGCAATACCTAAATTACCTGAGACAATGGACAACCCTATCACTGGTACCACCTGCTCTACGAAGATCACAGAAACTTGGAGAAACGTACATGACGCTATACATAAGGCATTTAAAGCTTATAAGACACATGCCAATAAGAAATGGAGTGATCATCCACCATTTCAAATGGGAGATTTAGTATATTTGTACACCAAATATCTGAAGTTGGGTGTCCCATGTAAAAAGTTGGGCCCCAAATATATAGGACCTTTTACCATACGTCGGGTGATTAATACTGTTACGGTAGAGTTGAACTTACCACCACGATTCAAAAAGGTCCACCCAGTATTCCATATTAGTCTCATTAAACCCGGAAGATGTAATCCCAATGATAGGTTACCTGGTCCAGTGAAGGCAGATCATAATGAGATAGAGTCTATTCTCGATTCACGGATATTGTTAGGAATGTAAGTCACCTAATAGTTGGGTTGGAAAATATATAAACCAGGATAGACATTTTAATACTGTCTCTTTAAGAGAACGCTAAAACTGTAATTGGATGTGCTTCCTCAAATGGCCATAAGATGGAGCCAGAAACCTGGGTTGTTTAGTCTTGTTCCTGTCCTGTTGCTGAGAGTGTTGCTGTTCTTTATTGACTGTTACTGATCATAGTTCTTCTTGTGTTTGATGTAAGTCTGTTACTGAACTGTTTTTGATACTGGACTTTGTTATTTGGATTATCCCTGGACTGAAAACTGACTGCTTTAACTGTGAATGACTTGGACTGCTTGTTTGGACTTTGCTTAAACGTTTATTGGAAGTAAAAACCTACATTTTACTATACAGAGTATCTGTGTGCTGGTTGTGTGTTATTCTTCACTACTCTCACTACGTCTCCCTGTATGTGCTCATTCTCCTAACAGGGAATTACCTCAACACTGGTTATGGGACCAGGCCATACCAGGTTCAGATAACTGAGAGTTGGTGTGAATGCACAGTACTGTATACAGATAGCAGTTTACTGTTTAATTGTGGGTTACTATCCTGGTAAAGATGGCACAAGACCCTTCAACAAGTCTATCACTGATAACCTGGTTGGATGGAACAAACTATGTTTCCTGGTCTATGAAGTGCAGTCTACTTCTGCGTAGAGATGGGTTATGGAATGTAGTTCAAGACCCACTGGATGTAAATGCTTGGGATCCAGAACATGAGGACGATGCCAAGAAGCTTGCTCACTTGTTAAACAGAACAATGAACAAGCTCTTTGTATAATTGGACTAACACTGAGTGACCAGCAGCTAGTCCATATTCGTGGAGAAGAGTCTGCTGCTAGGTGTTGGGAGAATTTGAAGAGGATTTACGTTCGTGACAGTGTAGGTGCACACGTACATCTTACACATAAACTGTTTAAAGCACGTCTTCTGAAAGGTGGAGATATGTTAGCTCATTTGAACTTCATGAAAAGAACTTTTCAAGAGCTACATGAAAAGGAACTGATATTTTCAGAGCTGCATCAAGTTTACATCATTCTTTCCTCATTGGATGAAAGTTATGATGATTACGTATCTTCACAGGAAGTCCTACCCAGAGATAAACTGACATTGACTGACATAACCGGAAGATTGTTAGAAGAAGCAAGAAGACGGCTGGATAGGGGCCAACTGAGGAAGGAACAACTACAAGAAGAGGATTTGTCTTCAACTGCCTATATTGTTAGGAAATGTTTTTCTTGTGGGGCTAGGGGACATATAGCTAGATTCTATAAGAAAGGAAAAAGACAGAATGCTAGTAATCACCAGAAGGCTAAGAAGAATGTTAGTTTATCTATGTTAGTTTAGCAAAGAAGGCGGAGCCACGTCGCTGCGATACAGCTGCAATCTCGGGGCTCCGAGATCGCAGCTGATATCTTCGCCCCTGGTCAGTCCTAACAGACCTAAACCATCCCGTAGAGATGGTGATAGTAAGGGATGCGTTCTGTTCATCCCAGGGACATCGCAAAGTCCCTGGCTGATCCAGAAGAAGCCCTTTTACCATCGGTGGAGAGGCAGCCATTAAGCTGCTGAAGCTGTGACAGCTCCGGAAGGAAGAGACAGAAAGAGAAAGTGTATTTTCTTTTTTTTTTATTCGGGACTTAAGGACACTCTAAAATGAGAAGAATTCTGTAAGACTTTTGACAAAAACTGATAAAATTGACTCAGCGGCGATTTTTTAAAGAGAAATGTCAAAGTGAGGCTTGGCTTTTTACTTTTACTTTTGTTTTCACTGAACTTCTATTGCGATCTAGTAATTGTAACTAGACTGGTTTTTTTCTCTTATATTTATCTATTTTTTTTCTTTTTCTCTCCCTTTTGACTGTTTATAATTTTTTAGAATAGAGGCTCCCTTTAGTAATTTTTTTAAAAATATATATATATACATGTATATTTTCTTTTTTTATTAGGCTTTTTCTGGGAAAGAAGGGGGAGTGGATTAAAGAAACTTTGTAACACTGCCAACTAGAGGCTTGAAAATACTTTATTGGAAGTTGAGATGACTGTGAAAAATCCTTTCTCAAGGACACTGGAACTTGATTAGAGGGAAGAACACTGGAGAATGTTTTTACAGGTGTTCTTTGGAACTTCTATTACTAATTGAGTATTTGAAGCTTGGCTTTGGAATTTGCGGAGAAGCCATAATAAGAGCCTTGGATAACTAAATAAGATGCAGTGTGTTTTCTTTTTTACTTTCTTTTAGCTGTTCCATCCCTCCTCTTCAATCCCACAGTATCTTGCAATATTTGTATATCTATTCTTTTTTGTTTTACTCTATTTTTATTTTTATTTTTTTTTCTTAAAGGGAAAGCCTCAGAATACTTTTCTTTTTTCTTTTTTCTTATTGGGATTTTTGCCTTTTCTATTTTCATTTTTGATTTACCTTTATGGTTATTTATTTTTTATTTTTTGAGACCTCCTAATTGGATTAAGGTGTGAAGAACCTGAAGAATTCTTTTTTCTTTTCTTCTATTATTACTCTTTAATATTATTGGATTTTACTCTCTTTTTCTTTATCCTTAATTTTTATTTTTGAATTATAACTGACTATCCCACAATAGGATTAAGGTTTAGAAGAACCTGAAGAATTTCCTCCTCATTCTTTTTAATTTTTTTTTTCTCCTTCTCTTTTTAACTTTGGACTTTTTATTTTTTATTGGTTTTTTTTAATGTTTTTCTTCTTCCCAATTGGATTATAATTGGCTATTTTATCAACTGGATTAAAGGAGCTTAAAGATCCTGAGCTATTCAAATGAGTAAGAAAACTTTACCTTCTGGCAGTTCAACTTCTGCTCCTGCTTCTCCATCAACTGGAGGACGACTTTCAACAATGGCGAAGCAAGATAAAGCACAAATGGACCTAGCGACAATTATACAAGGAATACAAGAACTTAAAATGAGTATTGAACAAAGAATTGCGAAGACTGATGAAAAATTTTCAACAAATGATGGCAAAACATGAGGAGAGACTCCAAAAAATTGAAGAGAAAGAGATGAGACAATTGGAAACATCGTTAGCAGATTAACAATGGCTGAACAAGACAAAAGTGGGATGTTGAAGTGGGAGATGGATAGGTCAGAATTTTATCTCAGATTTCAAAATATAGAGGAAGAAAAAGGACAAGATTTGGCGGCAGTAATGATAGAAATTTTGGCTGGAGCTTTGGGAATAACAGAGGAAAAGATGATGGATGGAGTAGATGAGATATACTGTGTCTTCACAAGATATGCGATGAGGAATAAGCTACCAAGAGAGGTCCATGTCAGATTTACTAAAAAGACTATTAAAACACAAATACTACAAGTGGCAAGAGATAAGGCGTTGAAATATAAAGACAAAGAGATTGTGGTCTTAAAACAAGTACCCAGAAGAGTGAGAGAGATGAGAAGAGAATATCGATTCTTGACTAAAATGTTATTGGAAAAAGAGGTGAATTATAGATGGTTGATCCCAGAAGGATTAATGTTTACATGGCAAGAACAGAGACACAGAATTGACTCAATTGAGAAAGCAGAAATATTCTACAATGAATTTTTTGGAAGAAGAGAAATAGAGACAGAAAAAGAGATCATCGCAACTGAACGCCAAGAGGACCAAATGGGTAAAGGGAAAAGAAGAAGGTGCGGCAGGTGGACAAATGGAGACCAAAGAACAACGTGAAGTAAGATCCACAAGAGCTGTCAGACCTAAATACAAAATATAATCATGGAGGAAAAAAAAATGATTTCTATGAATATAAATGGATTGAACTCAGCCACTAAAAGAAGAAAAACTTTCCATAAACTAGAGAAGTTAAAATTTGACATAATTTGTTTACAAGAAGTACATATTAAAAAACAACATCGATTATTGATACGACCAAAACTGGGGAAAATTTTTACTTCCTTGACTCATTGTAAGAAAAGAGGAGTGGTCTTGTACATTAAAGAAAGTATTGCAGCAAAACTGATTTATACTGATGAAGACGGAAGAGTATTAATGGTTGAAATAGTGGATAACAATACAAAAACACTCCTGGTAGCAATTTATGCCCCGAATGATAAGCAAGAAGAATTTTATAAAAAGTTACATATGAAAACAATTGGACTGGACTATATTAACATAGTTATGATGGGAGACTTTAATGGAATTGTAGATAATAAATTGGACTATACAGAGACAGCATCAAGACAAAATAGAAAGACTCTCCCTAAATCCTTTTTCAAAATGATAGATGAATTAAATCTAAAAGATATATGGAGAGAAAGAAATGGTAAAACTCAACAATATACTTTTTATTCAAATAGACATTTATCATGGTCCAGAATAGATATGATTTGGACTTCATCAGAATATCTAATATTCAAGAAATAAATATTGAAACAAGTATATGGGCAGACCATAATCCAATGACAATTAAATGGAAAGGACAAAAAAGATCTAGATGGACATTAAATAATACTATTTTAAAGGAAAAAGATTTCACACAATGGATGGGCAAAGAATTGGCTTTCTTTTTCATTGAAAATAAAAAAGAAGATACTTCAATGCAGAATGTTTGGGATACAATGAAGGCATATGTGAGAGGATTAATAATAGACTATACAAAGAAAAAGAATGCTAGGAAGAGGCAAACTATCAAAGCTTTAGAAGATGATCATAAAAAACTGGAAAAAGAATTGCAGAATATGCCACAGAAAAAAGATATTAAACTCTAAATGGATATAATTAAACATAAGATGGGTCAGGTAGAGAAAGAAGAATTGGCACAAAAAATTAGAAGTGCTAAACAGAACTATTTTGAAGATGCAAATAAGCCAGGTATATGGTTAGCATATAAACTGAGAAAGGAGAAAGAATCTAGGAAAATATTACAGCTAATAGATGACCAAGGTCAAATGTGTTATGGTAATAAGGAGAAAAAGGTAATTATTCGAGACTTTTATGGACAACTATATAAGCAGGAGGATTTTGATGAGGAAAGAATTAAACTTTATTTACAAAATGCTAACTTACCTAAGATATCTGAAGAGACTGAAAAAATGTTAGAAAGCACTATAACAATGATGGAATTAACTGAAGCATTTAACAGACAGAATAATGGAAAAGCACCGGGTCCAGATGGGCTCCCGGCAGAATTTTATAAAACACTACAAGAATCGTTGAGCACTCCACTGTTAGAAGTCATGAATGAAGTTATGTTAAATAAGAAAATACCTAAAACATGGTCAGAAGCTTATATTACCCTTATTCCAAAAGAAGGGGCCGATCCATTACAAATTAAGAACTATAGACCTATTTCTTTACTGAATGCAGACTATAAAATCTTTGCTTCAATTTTGGCAGAAAGGCTCAAAAGATACTTAAACAACTTTATTCATCCTAATCAGAATGGATTCTTGCCAAAGAGACAAATTAAAGACAACATGAGGGTAATTCTGGACACTCTGGAATATTATGAGGCACATACTGAAAAACAAATGGCTTTGATATTTCTAGATGCCCAAAAGGCATTTGATAATGTGAACTGGAGATTTATGTTTTTGTTATTGGAACAGATAGGCTTTGCTAGAAAATTTATTCAAGCAATAGAAGCCATATACGATAAGCAGACGGCAAAAGTAATAATAGAGGGAGAATTTACAGACTCTATTAATATAAGAAAAGGCACAAGACAAGGATGCCCATTATCACCTTTGCTATTTGTATTGACTTTGGAAGTGTTGAATAGAAATATTAGAGAGGATCCAAATATAAAAGGAATGAAAGTCAAGGAGGAATTTAAATTGCAAGCCTTTGCGGATGATTTGGTTTTTATTCTGGAAGATCCTCTAGAAACAGCTTTAAAGCTATTGGAAAAGATAGAGACATATGGTGAGATAGCTGGTTTGAAAATAAATAAAGATAAAACAAAGATTTTGACAAAGAATATGCTATTAAAACAAAGAGATGAATTGGCAGACTTATTGAAAATTCAAGTTACGAACAAGGTTAAATATTTGGGGATACATTTGACGTCAAGATGTACTACATTGAAAGAGAATAACTATATTAAACTTAAACAACAGATAGCATCTGATCTAAAGAAATGGGAAAACTTACAATTGTCATTGATAGGTAGAATTTTAACAATCAAGATGAATATTTTACCCAGAATTTTATACTTGTTTGTTCAAGAATAAATCTGAAAAGTGCTGGAAATGTCATCAGATACCTGGCTCATATTACCATATGTGGTGGACTTGTGAGGACGCTAGAAAATATTGGACTAAAATTCGCATATGGTTGGAAAAAATGACAAAGAAACACATAGACTTGAAACCAGAGATTTTTTTTATTGGGAATCTTACCTGATACATATAATAAAAATTTGAAGTATTTGATTGTAAATGTATTAACAGCGGCTAGGATTGAATTTGCTAAAAGTTGGAAGAGTGAGAAAATTCCATCAGAGGAAGAAACTATTAAGAAAATATTGGATTGTGCTGAAATGAGTAGATTGACATTTGAAATTAGAGAACAAGAAGATAAACAATTTTATGAAGTTTGGGATCTTTTTTATCAATGGTTAGATAATAAAACACAATAATAGAATATTTAGGTTTAGGATATAATTTTCTTTGATATTATTTTTATAAAACCTTATTAAGATAGATTTGGTATGATCTTATGATTTCTTGCAAAATAAATTAAGTAAATTATAGTTATCTCATTAAAGTATGAATTAACAAAATTATAGTTAAATGATTTCTCAGTAATGATACTAGGTTATACAATTGTTGATTGATAATATGAGTTATTATGTAATATAACTATAATGGCGTCTAGGAAACGGATGCACAAAAGTGGTAAACCAACCAATACACTGTTTGTAAATCTATGAAGGAGGATGATGTTTTTATGTTTTATGTTGTATGTTTTATGTGGTTTTGCTTGTTAAAATCAATAAAACTTTTTTTTTTAAAAAAGAATGTTAGTTTAGCTATGTCTAGCAATTCAACTGTAAACCATGATTTGTGGGTTATTCATAGTGGAGCATCGCAGTGCATTACTAAAGATAGAGGTTTACAAAGATGTCTACAAGTAAGCAACATGTATCATTGGCAAATGGATGGAAGATGAAAGCGTCTGGTGAAGGTACTGCGTA